CACACATCCATACATCCATACATCCGTACATGCATACATCCATGCACATATGCATATATGCATGCATCCATGCATGCGTACATGCATACATACCTACATACATTGGGGCCGTGTGTGTGCATATATATATATATATATGTATGTTTGTGTGTTAATATATATATATATATGTACGCACATATGTGTATATATGCATACATTTAAATACATACGTATTTAGATGAAGCTACGGAAGCGAAGGCAGATCATGCTCTGCGTTGCGTTGAATCACCCCGTAGAAGCTAAGCCCCAAACTCCAAATCTTAAACCTTATGACCCTAGACCCTAGACTCGAAACTTTATACCTAAAATGCCAAATCTAAAACCCTAAGCCTTAAAATCTATCACTGTGAACTCCTAGAATTGGTAGTTTCCCAAACAGGGGGACCCCAATATAGCCCCAAAGTACTATGGTCCTTATTATGCAGACCCTCCAAAAAAAGGTACTCCCCAATTCTGGGAAACCCCAAATCTCAAACCCTAAGCCCCAGCTCGAGGATTGCCACGAGCAGCTCGGCAGAGCCCTGCTCAGAGCCCAGCAACGCACCCGGTTCGAGCGAAATGGCAGATTCCCGAGTAATATTGGGATCATATAGGGTCATCTGAGGGTTATATAGGGGATAATGGAAAAGAAAATGGAAACTACTATCGTGGATTAGAATATGGCAGCTTCCCAAAGTGGGGGACCCCAACATACACCCAAAGATATTATAATCCTTTTTATAAGGACCCTCAAATTGGCACCCCTAATTTTTGGAACTCTTACATCCCTTGGTGCCGGTTTTCTTTGACATGCAAAAGGAAACGGAATTGCTATTTGTTGTTTAGGGTCTGGTTGTCCAGACGCAGCCTCAAGATCCGCTGCTCCACTTTCTTTGGGCAAGGGTGTCGGGTTTTGGGACTAGGGACGCCAAGCCTGACAACCCACCATAATCCCTCCATCGTTCCCTGTACCTCTTGTCTTGTCCTTATCTAACCCCATGCTCCGCATGAAACGAGCGCTCATCTGACCCCTGCATATACGACCCTGGCATTTGGTTCATCTCTCCTCAATACACACCTTCACAAATAGTGATTTCCATTGTCCCTATATAACCCCTAAATAACCCCTTTCTACATATTATTAGGCCTCATTGTTGTCCTCATACAGGCAATATGACAGTTCTCTTTGACTAGTAGGTAAAGAGGCCCATGGTCAGGAGTCAAAGGGCCTGGGCCGATCAGAAGTCATGTAGTCTACTGATGGTCTCATGGAAGAACCGGCTTCTGACCAGATGCTTGAGAAAATGATGTTACAGTTCAAGATCCATACCGATCCTCCCAAGTGGCGCTAGTGCTTGAAGGCTTTTTTGCATTAGCGAGTCTAGTTTCCACACGGAGCCCTATTACAAGCCCCAAAACCCTCATTACGACGTAGACTTACTAAGTCAAAACCGCCTCCAAGTGTTCATAAGAGTCTGTACGATGGCTGACACGCCGAATCCGAGCTCACTGGTCGCAGGAGTTGTCCCCTAAGCCCTAAACCTTTTACTGTGTAACCGAACGCTGAAGTGCATTCCAACCTGAATTAGATTCGCGGCCATGGCTGCTTGCCCTCCTGCTTGAGGGAAACTACCATATAGTAATCCAGTATAGTAGTTTTCATCTTCTTTTCCATTATCCCCTATATAACCCTCATATGACCCTATCATATTATCCCAATAGGTCTGAGTATGTAGATAGACATCTAACAAGTTCTCCAGGAGGTACGACTGACATCAAGTGATGCAGGTACAAGTGATAAATGAACATGTTTATCTGGGCGGTGGGTCAGTGTTGCTTGCTTGCCTTGATGCCGGCCATTTGGGATCAGCTTCCTTCATTGAAATTCGGTTTCTTCCAAGCAGACATCTCCACATCTGTTTGCACCAGCGACAAGAACAATACTACTCCTAGCTTCCCAATACACTTGCTTGTATCTTGTTGTTGCGCAGCCGCATCGAGCCGGCAAGGGGCGGCATTTGCACAGAGGGTGGGTCCGCGCTTGCCACCACCGCCCTTTTTTCCGCCGGTAGTCTCCTGGCAGTGATGAGACATAGTTCTTGGCTTTTTGGGGGAATTTGGCTTGTCTGGGTTGGCTTGGGATGGCTTGGGGCAAAACTCGTCATGGGCCTTTCAGTGAGCACAAGCAGCAGCATTTTACACACCCTGAAGTAATGGGCACTGCTACTTGTAGTGCTCCCGAAGATAATGAACTTGAGGCTTGCGGTTAAACAGCCACAGCCCCAACTGACCACGATACCTCCTCTGGAAGCCCCTAAACATTGTTTAAAGGCCTTGCAACATCATACCGCTGGACGATTTTTTAGTCATACTACTTGCAGCGCTGAGAAAAGTCCGAATTCCCCAGTTGCACAATGCGCTTCATTAACTCTTGACCACATGGCCCTCTGTATGCCTCTGAATCCTACTGTCCCGAGATGTAGTGAGAAGCCACTGAACCTGGCACCACTTGACCCAAAATCCCTCTAAAGCCTGCAGTAGACTTCGGGAGCTGCTCCAGCAGAGAAAAGCCGCATCCGCGCGCTGAGTAGTGGTTCAAACAGGGCCAGACTATAATCCCTTCTGTACAGCATCACTACATGTTTCCCTTTCTGCGATCTTTGCAGAACCCACTACCAAACTGTATGACGGTCTTGGAACCTGCCAGATGCTATTGAACAGTTTCGGAACATGCCAAGTCCTGTGACCTTTCGGATATATCTTGGATGCTCCCCTCATTCCTAACAGTCATAGATGGGTTTGGGAAGGGGCAGGATGTAGGAACCAGAAACCTGACCAGGATCCAGTTCCTGCGAATTTGTTCGACCGAGGCTGCAATGGTGTTTTTCGTTTACGTCGGAGGGAGCCCTGGGGCATTTGCTCTGTCGGCTACTGTGCTAAGTAAGCTGGCAATCTTTGGTTTAGGTATTAGCGGGTTTGAGGAGTACAGGGGGGCACTGGGGGAAGGTTTCGGATGCAGTATACGGAGATTGTTGTATCGCTTCCATGCTGACGACCAAGCTGCTCGTAGTTGAGGATGGCCCCCGGATTGTTAGTAGTGCTAGTCGGAAGGAGTTGTCCCATGTCTGTTTCCCTCAGAGTCTAGGGCGTAGGGGAAGATGGGGAAGGCGGCATCAACAAGCACGAAAGTTTTGAAACCAAACCTTTCTTGGGCGATGCCACCCTATTCTAGGAGTTGAAGCCGAGCTATATCCAGAATGAGCTACGAGAGTGTAGGGTTGAGCAGTGGCCGCTCCCCGGCACTTGGCACCCCCCTGCAAGCCCCCCGATGGAATGTTCAGAGGTGAAGGCTTGACTCCATGCCATTTTCCATGTGACGATGTAGGACTCGTCAAGTTAAGGGCTTTTAGGCTTCAAGTCCAAGGCTTTTTGTTCCAGACCCATTTGAGGGATGATTACAAGCGAGTTTTCAAGAGGACTAGAAGCTCCTCAACTGAGGCGGGCATCTTCATTCTCTCCGTATTGTTTCAGAACATGAGCTTCTCTGAGACTGGAGACATGGGCGATGAGGGCTACTACACCTCCTACGAAGAGTCCGGGACGATCAATGTGTAGGGTTTGGTAATCATCGAGTGAGAGGAGTAGAGATATCCATGGTGGCGCTACTCGCAGTCATGACAAGTATATTCGTGGCCAACAATATCACCGAAATGATTGTGGCTTTACGCTGCAACCCCTGCCAAAAGCATGAGCCGCAGTGGCAGTAGTAGTAGTAGTAGTAGTAGTCGTGGTGGTGGTGGTGGTGGTGGTGGTGGTGGTTTGTGGTTTGTGGTGGT